TTTAATTGATAAATGATAACTATAGTTACAAGGGTGTCGTACTCTTTTTCTCTTTCTTTACTTTTTTAGGATTTTATATTAGGATAGTTTTATAGTTTCTGGAAATAATATGTCAAACTGATATTAACAGGAGATTTTTGAGCCATTTATAACATATTTTTCTTTCTGCTGATTATTATTTTGGTTTTACTAAAATAGCAATATTTTCATCATTCAGATATGATATCTTGTTCTCCCTGAAATTGTCATGGCCGTTGCAGTGCGTTCAATTTTTTCTAACATCTCAATCTCCATCTCACTGACACGTGATTTTGGGTTCTCAATGAAATGCTGATATATCTTGTTAAGATATATCTTTTTAAATTGAATTGGGTGTGAGAACGAGAGAGAGCATGAGCGATATTTATAATATACATATTATGTTATTTTAATGGGGAAAAGTTTATATAGAGCCTAGGCTCTAAACAATCAAATTAGAGCCTACTTCAAAACATCACTACGAGAGGTTATTTTGATGCCCGAATATCATCAAATTGACCTTCTCGACATCAAGATGCATGGACATGAAAAAAAAATGAATTTCAAGTTTTGAAAATAGTGCATCTTATAACGCATTTTTCAACCATTAATTTTTAAGATTTTCAATTTTTCATAGATATGATCGATCAACACTATTTTTTAAGCTTTAAATTTTATAACTAAAGATGGAAATATAATTTAAGACTATCACAAAACTTTCCCGCATTGAAACCTTATTTCTCAATACTATTTAGAGGTGGGCTCAAATTTGATTGTTTAGACCCTCGGCTCTATACAAACCGCACCCTATTTAATGTGTTATTGTATTGTACTGTATTTATTATGATATATCGTATGGTATATCATATTGAAGAAAGGACAAAAAATCAGTAATAAACTTCACCTCATCACATTGCAATATGGCTGAAATTTCCGTAACCACCTGTAATATTTTCTAGCTTCAAACTAAAAACACATAGTATGGTCCTTTACATTAGTATTGTACATGTTGTCCACAACATCAAATAAACATAAATAATATATATTTAAAGAAATGAAATAATTCTCTATAAATTTAGGCACTACATCAAATATATCCTGAGGAATATTTTTATCAGATAGTATATATACTTGCGCGACCACAAAAAAATTGCTGTCGAACTTGCGCTTTTTTTTGGTCCTTATATGTTGTCTCTTTTTTTTGCCATGAGCCCATGAAGAGGGAAAAACTCAAGATGGAATCTCTATTATTTCGACAGGCACTCCCTTAAGGGAGCTGGCGCTTTACGTATAGAAGATGTGCGTATTCTTTTTGTCATCTTTTTTCTATAAAAATTTTATCCTGCCCCGGAGATCGAAAATCTGAAGTCACAATGCTTACTTAATAAGCTCGGATTTTCAATATTTGAAGTAATCGTTTTTTTTTTTTAAAGCACTTTTTTGGAAAAAAAAAAGCCAAAGTCACTTTAGAATTTGATTTACACAACTTTTGATTTTCAATTTCTGAAGTAATCTTGGTTTTTTTTTTTTATATCATTTTGAGAAGAAAACAAAGAGATTGAAGTCCAAACTCACACTATACTTTGCATTTCCAATATCCAAAGTCATCTTAATTTTTCTTTAAATTCTGTTTTTTTTTTCTCTTAAAAATGACTTCCTAGAAAACAAAAAAAAAAGGACTTTGGATATTAAGAATTCGAAGTCAAGAGTGACTTCAGATTTTTAATTTCTGAAATGCCTTTGGTTTTTTCCCTAAAAAAATTGACTTCAAAAAAAAAAAACAGAGGGCTTAGGGATATTGAAAATCCAAAGTTTCAAGGATTTTCAATCTCTGCAGTGGGGGTAAAATTGGAATGGATAAAATAAATACAAAAGGATATGTGCGTGATATACTATAATTAAAGAAAACTTTCATAATTGTGGGTATATTATGAGGGATGTTTAGATAAAATTCCCCGACTTTATCTAGGAAAAGGGAAAAATAATCCACACATGAATTGTCTTTCAGTGCTAATTGAGCATGGCACATGGAGTAAGAGATTACGGACTACCGTGCAACATTTTAAATCGATTTTCCAGAACAAAAGTTCAAGTCTAGAGTTTCAAATATTTGGATTTTCTGAATTAAATGATATCAAATATCCGGTTTTAACATCATAAATGCCCATGTTTGATGATTCCAAATTACTGACCTTCAGTATTGTTGTTTGTAAGGAGTTGCGAGCTGAACCATGCACATAATTGGGAATCCTAGCCACTCAAAACTTTGTATATTCCTATTTGCCTTTTTAGGTTGGAATTTGTAAAGAGAAAACATCCTTTGGTCCAGGAAGGCTACAATCACTCTAGATTGTTAGGTGTGAATTCAGGCGACGGACGTATATTACTAACCATATTTAAAATCCAAAATGATCTTTCTAATCTTGTGATATACTCCTAGTTGTCAAATTTAACATCGGATGGCTAAACATGATTCTGACCATTTTACTAGAGATACTTATGGTATAACATTCCCGGGGCAACGAGTAAAAGAATGGGTGTTTACTAAATTGAAAAGAAGTAGGGACAAATTGCAATCCCCGTAACTTTTTATATAACAGCCAAGGTAACACGTTATTTTCTAAATATCACATGTTAATTGGTGATATATTTTTAGGAGAAATTTATGCTAATCCCATTGAATTACTTATCTTTTTCCTGTGGGAGTAAACTATCCATTTATAAAAAGAAAAAATAGCAAAGAAAAAGAAATTAGGGGGAGGAGGCAACCTTAGCTAAAGAGACTGCTAAAGTATTCCTCTCCCTATTTGTTGCAGCATAAAAACTTTCAGCAAGACATTGGGCAATCTTCCAAGGTTTTATTGCAATATTTGATAACATTCAAGAAATCTTCCTCAATAATTACATGAGTATGATTCCCCTCTAAATAGTCCCCCTCTAAATTAAGCACCACATGCTTCAAACTCAAAAGTTCAGCCTCTATTGCCTGCCAAGGTGTCAAAGGACCACTTAAGGTCTAGATAACTCACCCTCATTGTTCCTTGGAACCGCCCCAAAGCCTGCTCTCCTTCATTGTTCTTGACACTTCCATTGAAATTAGAGAAAATTACAAAAAAAAAACCCAAGACCATATTTTCTATTCAACTTACCCCGTCCTAACTTTTCTCACTGTTTTCTCCAAACAAACTTTCTATGCAACCCCAAGGGAAAAAGTCATTTCTTTTAGACAAGAAGGGCACCCCAGGGGAAAAAGTCATTTCTTTTAGATGGAAATGCCTTTCCCGTGCACGAAAAATCATTTTGGCCAGATTTGACGAGAAGGGCACCCCAGGGGAAAAAGTCATTTCTTTTAGACAAAAATGCCCTTCCCGTTCACAAAAAATCATTTTGGCCAGATTTGACGTTGACTTTTGGACCTAGTCGCACATTGCCGGAGTGCACCATCACATCGCCAAAGACCTAGTAGCACGTTGTCGGAGTGCACCATCACATCTCCGAAACGTAAGTGCCAACCCTAAGATAACTACTAAGATAACTGCTGAGCGCAAGTACCGGACCGCCTTAAGATAACTACAGAATCAAAACTGAGTACGAACGGACTACCCAGACCGCCCTAAGATAACTACCGAATCGAAACCGAGTACGACCGGACTACCTTTAGAGTAACATCTACTGCTGGACATCCTAGACAACCGGATTGTGGACATCCTATAACATCTATTACCTGACTGCCCTTTGCTGAAATCCTAGAATCTAGTAACATCTACTGCCAAACCGCATTTTACACACTGTCGGACTGCCTTTTGCCAAAATCCTAGAATCCAATAACATTTACTGCCGGACTACAAAGGACTACCATCGAAATCTTAAAATCCAATAACATCTACTGCCGGACTGCCTTTTGCAACTGTCAGACTGCATTTTACATCATTTTTGTGGGAACTACCCTTTGCAACTGCCAAAACCGCATTTTTGCTGGGACTGCACAACTGCCAAACCGCATTTTACATTTTACACAGTGCCAAAACCCTACCGAATGTACAGTGCCAGAGCTCTATTGTCGAACCGCACTTTGTAAAGTGCTGACGCCTGCCAAATTGCACTTTAGTCTTGGGGGTTCTTTATAATTTTCCCTTGAAATAAAGTTTTACCCACCAGCAATGGAGGTCTATGTAATGAGGCTTCAATGGGTTTATGTCTATTGAGGTCTCTGTAATGAGGCTTCAATGGGTTTAGGTCTATTGAGGCTGGAGTTTACCTTCAAAAGTGTTCTTAAGGAATCCCTTTATAGGAGTTCATAGGACTACGTCCAAAGAACCAGATGTCGCAAAACTAAGGAATCCCTTTAAAGGAGTTCAAAGGACTGCGTCCAAAGAACCAGATCTCGCAAAACTCATTTTCTTATGGTCAAATCCCTTAGGCCATAAAAAATCCTGGCGTATGGCATCTCCCATGGAAGACTAAATAATTATTGCAAGCTTCAAATTCAATTAAGAATAATTAATTGTTGCAAGCTTCAAACTCCGTTATAACAGATGGCTTTTCCATTGGAAAGCGCACACGGTTTTTCATCCTGCTTCCTCATTATAATATTCACTTATTTCCAACTTCCCCAACTTTTCTGGTGGAAGGCAAATCACCATGAATATAGCATACTCTATTTAAAAAAAGGAAGATGCATACGCATCGCAACGAAGATAAGATGAGCACATGAGATGCATTCAGTTTTTTTTTTAATCATTTCAGCAGTTCATCTCAATATCAAAAACAAAATAAAACATCTTCATCGATTGATGTCTGAGCAACCACCAACAATTCCATTTGCGCAGTCAGGCATTGATTAATTGTTACGACAACCTACGCTATGGGGCTATCTTGAGAGAGAGAGAGAGAGAGAGAGAAACGCGGTCGTATTCTCCCATTCACAAGCAAAAACCTCAAACTTTACTCCGCCAAGAAAGACCCAAGCACAAGCCCTAAAATAATTTGCAACACACTCAATGCACGCATTTAAGATAAATGAATGAGTGGTACAACAACGATCCATAATACGGCTGGGTCAGGAAGTCGTATTGCATGTTGTTTTAGCTCATTAAGTCATATAAGAGGAAAAATTAAAACAAGTTGAATTCATGAAGACACTACATCCAAGTAAAATTGTCAGGTATATAAGCACCCACAGGCATGCATTTTCCAAACACTCAAGGATTACTAATAAGGCCGGTACCTCCAATCCATTCTTGACGTACGTCCACCTCCGCCGTTGACATAACCCCACTATCAAGAAAAAAAAAAAATTTCATACTTTCCGGAATAGAACGTGGGAATTACAGCACATTCTCAAAATAGGACTATAATACTATCTATCTATTATACTCACATCCTCAAAATCCATGTTTCCGTTGTAAATCCGACCATAACCTCTCATTGGACCTCCATAGCCACCGGCCATTGGCTCAATTGCATCACTCACAAAAGGCCCACTTGTTCCCGTGTCATCGAGTGGTGTCGCAGAGTCTATGGCTACCTGCATAGTGTAGTATCGTAAGACATACATACCTCATATAAGCATTAGGTCACGAGTTATTCCAACTAGAAGTCATGGTTGGTAGAAGCACAAAAAAATATCTGAATGCGAGCCAGCGTACTACTTTTTGACATTCAACTTGTAGAAATTTGAAAAAAATCTGAGAGATGAAGCATTCTACTCAACATCTGTGATATGAATGAAAGGATGAATCTCCTAAATTTACTTCGAAGTTCCCAATATATAGGATTTGTTGATGATGATTGCAAAGCTTGTCACGTTCACTTTACATGCATTATTTAGATATATCAACAAATCAAAAATACATGAGGTAGATATCGAGATCGGATATAATAGGCAAAGGCATGCATGCACAAGCAGACTGTGATTATGGACTTAAAATAATTCCGTCATAAAAAAACCCATCCAGGATACTTTTCAATACTATTTTGGTTTTTTTTTTTTGGTTTTATCCCTCAGGCTGCTTTCCTACACAAACAAAAATAACAACAGCCCTTCATTCTCTAACAGCCCCTGACATCAAGGAAAAAAAAATCTGTAATTGGGACCACCAAGCTTGGAATTTCATGGTAAGAAAGTCCCAGAAGGCTGGCCATGGAAGAGGTACGAAAATCGAGGTAGTGAGAAAGCCACAAGCAACATGCCACTAGATGATGAACTTACTCGAGGCATTGATTTTTCAAATCCACAGCTACCAACTACACACATAATACATGCTTTTGTGTACAGGTTACCTTCCCTAGCAATATAGTGCTCGCATATATTTCAGATGTTTATGTGGTATCTGATAGTGCCCAATATTAAGTAGAATGCCAAAGGTAACCGTAGAATGCTTAAAAAAAAAAAAAAATAGAATGCTAAACACGAATGCAAATACATACCCAGTTACAACTTCACAGGGCCACTTTTAACTTGACATTTAAAGTAATTTTGAATAAGCTTTCAACTTCCAGTAAAAGAAGTAGTAGTTCGACCCAGCTGGACTGGGAATTGACAAAGAATGGTCCAATCCAGACAAGTCCCGGGTCAGCCGGCTGAGTTTGCCAACTATGCTTCCATCAACATCTATTTCTTTTAGAGTTTTCTTTGTTCTTTTGTGACCTCGCGTAAAACAAAGATAAGAAAAGGGAGGTGAGCTCACATACCAAATTCACAAAATTAGTACCCCATAGTTTCATCGTCTACCCTTTTTAAAAAACATTTTACTACTCTTACGTGGTTCTAGACAAAGCACACAGTGAAGTAGACGTGACCTGGCAAGTAGGTGAGTTGAACACCTATTACTGACATTCTCCAAGTCTTGGTAACCCAAACTACACTAGTGCAATACTGGAGAGTGTATTGGGAATGGAAGCAAGGAAGATATAATTCTGAATGGTCCATACTGGTTCGATTGAAGACCCTATACTACACTTCTTGCTAAAACGAGTATGAAGAGCAACACTCTAGTGAAGACGATCATAAAACACAACAGAATCCTATAAATTGCATCAAGATATGCTATCCTAGGAGATTCATAATTGACTCACAACACTTATGACTATGCGATGTTCAGATAGTAATTTGCTTATAGGATGTCTATCGATGATTCAGTATTTCCTGTCACATAAGACCATATTTCTCTATAAAATGGATATAACATTATTTAGCATTGTCATTACATTCTCCAAGGGAACATTACAACTACCACAATTCCTGGATGTGAAACAGGTCATCTAGATGCTGCTTTGTGTAAAAAGCAGCTCCTGTTGCCATTCTTCATAAAGCATAGAATAGGTGGATATGTCTTTACAAGTATAACCAAAAGATGCAATTGTGACACTGAAGTTTTTAAGCCATGATTAGGGACCACTTAGCCTTCCTTAAAGTTGAAGATTAGTCCTGCGATTCTTACTTTCAAGGAAGACCAAAAGAAAGTGACATTCAATTTCCCCACGGAGAAGCATATTCTTGACATCTAACTGGTACAGTTTCCAATTCTTCAAGGTTGCCACCGAGAGTAGTGTATGTATACAATTCAACTAGGACACTAATATTGGGTTGTTTTGTGAGCAATCCCATGTTTTGCCCATTGTAACTACAAAACTATACAAACTACAGATGACTTTTATACAAACATTTGGAACAAATAAACAATTTCACTTATGCAACAATACAAGCATCAGCTAGTTAACCTTCTCTTCAAAAAAACAGTACAAGCATCAGCATGTTTTTCTCCAGGGTCTGAGTTCTCAATCATATGAGGATTTCCACCACTTGAGTCGACAGAATGATTGAAAAAATGTGTGACAATCATAAGTAGCAGCAACATTCAGGACAAAACCATAATACATACTAGAAATAGCCTGACACAAAACAACAGTTGTATGAGATAATAAAAAATAGCACAGCTTTTACTTGACAAGATTCGTAATTCCCAAGTCCAGTGAGGATTCATTATAACTCTCATTCTCATTTCACTGATCATGCTTTATTTCAAGACAAAAGTCTGCATGATTCTTGGTACCACAAGATCAGGTTGAAGATCCTCACAGAGTCTTTCATTTTTGACGTTTTTACTTTTCGGCTTGTTTGAGGACGATTCTACATAAAGGGTATAGGCATTGCTGCTTGTATCTCTCGTTGAGGGGCATGCAGCATGACCTGATTCCCGTCAGAAACATTACTAAACCACCAAACAGGAGAAGCATTAGAAAAAAAGGCATTTACGACCACGAAACTAGTGCCCTTTTAATGAGAAGGTTAACCAGGAAAAAAGGCAAGTTTTGAAGAAGCATCGGGTTTACGAAGCAGTTTAAAGGAATATGCACATACCATTCAAAACTGAAAGGATAAAGGTCCTCGAGGCAGTTCATTGACAAAATTTGAGTAAACACACCATTGATAATATGTAGTCATCCAGGCAGTATCAGAACAGAAAAGCTCTACCACCTCATCAACATGCCTTCTAATGGATTTATCTTCAGGTTAGTGCCTGGGCCACATTTGGGCTAGGCCAGGGTTGAGCCACTGTGGCCCGATAGACGGCCCCAGCCATGTCCTGCCCAATTTTTTCTTTAGTTCTTTTCGTACATTTTATTTGAGTGTATTAGGACCGGCCCGGTCTGGCCCAAATAGGCCTGGCCATGGCCTCTTTGGCTCGGTTGACTAGAGCCAGGCTAGGTCCAAGGCTGGCCCAGCCCAGGCTCGATCCATTGCCAGCCCTAAGTCATCCCAATGGAATTGTACTCCATCCTATTGTTTATCATTCTCTTAAGCCAATATTTGGTATTCTATGAATGAAATCAACACCCAAAAACCGCCAAGTTCATCATCATCATCATAATTCAAGCCTTATCTTATATGAATCATGTTCCACCATTACGCTCTATCAAGGACCATACCCTCAATTAAATCAGAAGTCATCATATCTCTCTCTTCTCTCTACTTCAATCCATGTCATTTTGTTCATTCCCCTTGCCCTTTTAGAGTTTTCCACTTGAACCATATTGTTCCTCCCAATCAGTGTTATTCTAGGTCGATGCTGCACATGGCCAGCCCACCTAAATCCATTTTCCCTCATTTTATCGCCCATTGGAGCTACTCCTACTTTCCCCCAAATGTATTAATTCAAAATTCATTCCATTCGTGTCTTGCCACTCATCCATCTCAACATCCTCATCCTAACTATTCTCATTTCATGGATATGTTGTTTCTTGACCGCCTGACATTCCATCCATAAAGCATGGCCAATCTTACAGCCGTCCTATAGAACCTCCCCGTCGGTTTCATTAGCACTCGGCAATCACATAAAGGCTGCCAAGTTGATCAACGTAAATTAAACCAGAATATCAGAATAATCAACCCATACAAGATAAAGCTCTTGATTGGTACCGGGTTGATCAACAACAAATTAAATCAGAATATCAGAACAACATAACCCATAAAAGACAAATCTCTTGGTTCGTAAACCTGGCAATGAGCACAATAACTTCACTGCTAATCCACCACTCAGCCCATGCTCAAGCCACCTCGCAAAATGACAGACTCCTTAGTAATTTGACACATGTTCTCCCTATAGGTCAAGAGCTTGAAGAATCCTTTTCTTAGCAAGTGGCTGAATTTTCAAGATAATGTCATTGCTATATTCTATATCGCATGTTTATGATCTTTCAGATATTATGTCAAAAGCATGCAGAAAGAGACTTAAGCATGCAAAGTGTGACAAATGCATCGTCAAGATAGACATTAGCCTCCAAAACAGGAAGGAAGACATCCACGTACACATGTGCTGTCTTGCTGCATCCTTTGGCAGTGCACAGAGATCTAATAAAACCTCAACACAGGCCACGCTCAAGCCATCTTGCAAAGTGACAGACTCCTTGGTAATTTGACATATGTTCTCCTTATAGGTCAAGAGCTTGAAGAATCCTTTTCTTAGCATGTGGCTGAATTTTCAAGATAATGTCATCCCTATATTCTATACCGCATGTTTATGACCTTTCAGATATTATGTCAAAAGCATGCAGAATGAGACTTAAGCATGCAAAGTGTGACAAATGCATCTTCGAGATAGACATTAGCCTCCAAATCAGGAAGGAAGACATCCACGTACACATGTTCTATCATGCTGCATCCTTTGGCAGTGCACCGAGATCTAATAAAACCTCAACAACTGTTTGACAACAATATAAGGCTTTCTAAACAATGTGACAATGCAGGGGACATTCAGGCTCCATGTCAACAGTGCAATGTTCTCACTTAAACCCATGCGACAACCTCTTATTTACGGCAGATCCACAATGGGAAAGGACATGAGCTCTATCATAGGTGCTCTTTGCTCATAATTCACAGTGAAAAAGGCCATGAGCCCCAATCATCAGTGCTGTTTTACTGAACCTTCAAACAGGACAGGGCACAGACAAGAATGACATGGTGAACATCACCATATTATTAGTAATGGACCACCTCATCATAAAGACGATGTAGGATGAGGAAACAAATATTGACATGATATTTGATTTCCTATGGATAATTTTACAGCGTTATGGAAATCAGAAATGCTGGGGATGTTTTGACTAATTACCCTTCTCCAAATGAAATAGAACATCTTCTTAAGGTTACAAAATTTATTTATCAATCACTACTTACTCCAGATTGCTCAATAAATGAGCTTCAAAAGAGTAGTTACCTTGCATTTATATACAATTTCATGAATTCGTTCCAACAATGAGATGCAAGAACAAATCCTAAGACACCAGATACAAATATAAATCTGGATACAAATATGAGGAAGAGAGATAGAACCCTATATTTCAGAAATTTAAGGATACAGACACAGGTGATCTTGTCTTGGGCAATATCAGAGGCATGTGTAAGTAACAGCCCAACATATAGGGCGTGTAAGAGATGGATAAAATCTAAAGATTAACGCATTCAGATCTTTTTGTGCTCGAAGCCATCTAGTTAACAAAGAGCAGAGAAAGCTATTTATAAGGATGCTTAAGTTGAATGTTGACTCCTTGAACAATGTCAATTATTCACATCACAACTGCTATGGTGGTTATGGAAAGAAAAGAAGAAATACACCAGCCAGCAAATTCTCAATTTATGCAATACCTGCTGTCCATGAATCTCATGTGTTCTTCGAGATACACGTTCAGCCACACCATCCTCCGCAAACGTCACAAAACCGAAGCCCCTGTGGCCTGTTCTTTTTGGATCCTGATTTGTTATAGAAAACCATGCATATTAGATATAGCTACCCCATCAAACAGCTCCAAACCCATGCAGAAAGCGCAAATCCATACCTTTGGAATATATGCATCTAAGATACGACCAAACTTCACAAAGTACTGGCGTAAATCTTCTACAGTAGCTTCTTGAGGAAGCCTACCAATAAAGATCTTTTTTCCCATCCCATGAGCTGCCCCAGAGACACCTCCTAAAATGTACGCAAATCAATTACAAATTTAACCAAAGCTGCTGTTTAGATGAGTAACATACAAAGGAGGCTTCTAAAAAGCAGAAGCAAAACTCACTTCCATAAACCGAGCTTGGATGGTCATATAATGTAGGTGCCCCTTGTACTGCATACCTAGTTGCAGCAGTGATATAGGCATTGTATGCACCATATCCGCCAGGTGGTGCTCTCATTGGCTGCCTTATTTCATCTTCCTGTACATGTAAAAGAGCTAAACTGAGTGAGGGAAAAACCTATTCAGGATAGCATACATGGATCAGCTAAAGATTTTTCTTCTGTCTTTACCAAGGCAATCAAATTCAAAATGCAGTTCAAGGCACTAGAGGGTCTAATGCACCATGCACCTTGATGCAGGCGCATTAATTCCTACCCGGATAAATAAAATATAGAAACTTAATAAAATTTGTAATAATACAAAGAATAACAGATATATATGATTTATCTGATACTAGACATTTTAATCTAGCATTGTGTCCAAGATATACACTGTCAGGATCACTGATAAGAGTGGGATAGACATTTTCTCTCTCTATTCTCTAATGTAAATAGCACGTAAAACAAAACGAACAAATGACCAATCTATTAATTAAATTCAATAAAAAAACAAAAGAATATGCCAGCATAGCAAGCAACAAAGTAAGAAAGTACGCATAATATGACACCATTAAAAGAACCTAGATAGTGGAAACTGCCGCACAAAGCTAAATGCTGGACAAATATGAGCTTTGCTCATAAAATTGAAATCGAAAAAAAGAAAAAAACACAATGTTGGATTTCGCACCCATAGAAGCCCAAAAACAAAAAAAAACAAAAAAAAATTGCTCTAGGAGCTTCTTTTTGTTTGGCCTGTGGGAAGGGGTGGTGTAGGGACAATTTAGCCCTGTTCGTGGGCTATATTTCTTCCATTCAGTTGGGAACAAGAACATAGCCGAATAGGCATGTCCCAATGCGGCTGCCTATGCAGCCATTGCGTGGCCTAAGCAGTTGCATCATGCACGCCAACCTAGGAGGGCAGAAAAGGAGCAATGATGGGCAGCACTGCTTCGCTGTGCTGCATTTGATAACACTGATTCTTAACATGAAAAATGACCACTTGTCACTATCTTGTAGTACTTATACCATAAAAAATTAAAACTGTAACAAAGACATATGCTTTAGAGAGGAGAAAAAGCAAAAGAAAGGAGTAATTTGCCTTGGGTGTTGCACGGTCAACAACAATTGTAGAACCACCCAACTCATGAGTTTCTGCCATCAATGTGTCAACAGATTCTGAAATGCCATGAAGTATAAATACGTCAGTCTCAAAGAAGCCACGTAAGAAGCTGAAAAAAACAGTTTGATATTACGCTACAAGCAATCCAGCTCAGTTGCAATGTAATAAACCAATCCAGGTATAATATGACAATTACAAAAAACCCAAGGATCTTAAATCACACAAATGTAAAAAAAGTAATGATACTGAAGCACATCCAAAATACCAATTGTATATTACCCAATCCCATAAAAGGCGAAGTTCAAAAAAACAAATAAATTCATCGCCACATTTTTGCATCCATCCCTCTTATACTTTTGCTAAATCTAGCGGTGTTTGCATCCATTTGTCTTGTCCTTTCACGACATAAGTTGGTGGCTCACATGAACAAAAATTGAAGGAATGCAGTGATCAAGACCGGCATGAGTCACTGATTTTACTAACCATAGCCAAGCATGAAGACTCACTGATTTCCTAACCATAACCAAGCATGAAAGACTGAAACGTTAATTGTAAAGTAATGCCGTGGAACAAAGAAATTGCACTTCCATTGGCAACAAGTAAATGGATTGGTAGACTTTAATAACCTGTAGAGATACTAGATTGAGCGAAATAAATCATCAAGGTCATCCAAGTTTCTAGAATCTATGGACTTAACAATTTCATTATTAAGTTTCTAGAAGCTAAGGACATAAGCCACATGAGCGTTAAGCACACAAAGCATATTCAATTTCGGTACTAAGTTCAAAGGAGGCAGTTCAATGCCAACGGAAGAACAAAATATATACTTAAGACTAAGTTCTCCAGCAGAACACCCTCCTTGCAGGTGGAACCATGTAAGCATCTTGATTTCGTTTAATGAAGGCCGTGGAAGGTGAAAGGTTGTACTCTAGCATTGAACCAGCATCATTCCAACTTTTAGCCTCTTGGAAATGATTACCCCTTGATAAAATTATTTGCATAGAGCCAATGTTTCAAGAGTCCAATGGGTGAATCAAACCAGTGAACCACTAGCCCTGATCAGACGCGGCCAAGATGGCGAGTAGGATGTCAAATCCCCAAATGTCCATATGGACCCCCCAAAAAACCAGAAAATTTAAAATAAAATAAAAAGGACCCCACAAAAAACCAAAAAAAAAGGGAAGAAAATCTAAAACAAACATTAACAGATATAAAATCATGCATTAACTTTTGTAGATTGAAGATCCCTCTGCAACAAAAACCCTTTCGAAATCAAACAAAAAATATAGAATTTTTTTTAAAGAAATCTGAGGGATGTAAAATAATTGAAAATCTACAAAAATACTGTTTTAAATCATGCAATATCTTTGTAGATTGAGGACAACACTCTCTACAGCAACAAATCTGATGAATGAAATACATGATTTTTTAAAAATCTGGGTGTTTTTAAAAAACCGTTGAACCTTTTGATGCCAAATCTCCTCAAACACATTTATTGGAGAAATTGTCACAAACCTGCTAGAAGGCTCCAATGTGGAATTTTTTACACAAAATTCACGAACGTTTGGTTCAAAAAATGGGAGATATCAAAAAAATGGCTGATCGGGAGTTAGAGCGAAAAAATGGTAAGTTTTTCTATCTCTCGATCTCGCCAAAAATCTGTTTCTTGACCCAAAAAATTCTTTTAGGGCTATTGCAGATAAAGGAGAGAGAACAATTTGTGCCAAAGTAGAGAGGATGTGGTGAAGAAAGAATCTTCATATTTCAGTTCGAATAGGGAAACCCAACCAATCTGCTCTGATTTTTTAAACCATGTGCAAAACACTTGAATTTTTATAATTATTGACTTCGTGAATGACTGAGGCGCTTAAGGGAGGCCAATGTCATTAAACACAAAAGTGACTAGCCATTTCACAATGCTGGGAGTAGATATAAATTAAGCTTACTTCACAGCACAAACAAAGACAAAACAAGAAAAAGACAAGAAAGAGGCGAAGAAAGGAAATATAGGTACATATAGGCTAGGTGCCACAATACACTGCTGTGACATCTAGACATTTGAAACCTGCTAACCCCTTGTTTGACAAGCAATTCGGCCTTGCCATTAGAGTTTTAATATTCAGATTTTTGGAAACTTAATAAGCACATTGCTGACTTTTCATTTATTTGGATTATATATTATCCAAATATATCCGAAATTTTTTATTTCTGGAAGACAAAATGAGAATTTAATGAGTGTCTTTCTCCTCCCATTCTCCTCCTAATGCATTTGAACCATAGTTGCTGGAGCCTTGAAGGAAAGGTCATGAACCCGCTCCGGAACCTCAATCCCACGATTCCAGCTAGGGATTTTGAATGGAATGCAGATCCTCATCCCCAGTGGGTTTGAACTGGGGTTCTAAGTGTATGATGCAATGCATATGGTGTTTTCTCTATTCCGCACTGATTTATATCCACTGATTCAGGTTTGTGCCCAATGGTAATGTGAACCCACACATCACTCACGATCCCTTAAAACTTTCTATTGCGGCTCCTTTCTCATTGAATCGTGCTTCCTTGTGACAAGGATCCCGCTCCCTTGCTATAAGATCGTACGAATGACGGTTCTGCAGACCCAGCTAGCTCCCGCTCCTACTCCCAGGAACGCACCCGCACCTGACAACTATGGTTTGAACACCAATTACAAAGAAGTTCATTACTTAATTTCATGCCCTTCTCATGGCTTCCTCAACCTCTATGCCAACCACTACCAACACCCCTCCCAATCTTCTTCTTTCTACATTACCTCACAAAAAAACCAAATCTGAAACCCATTTCATCACTTTCATTCAGTCCCTTGGTCCCTACAAATATGAACTAGGGAGCAAAAGAAGACTACCCAATTCTCTCTTTCTCTCTCTAAAACCTATCTTTCTTTACAATCGCCCGATTTTTAAGACATGGGTTTCAATTGTTCCCAGTCAAGCATTCATCAGACATTCCCAAGCCGAGACTGAATTAGAGAAAGAACTCACTCCCTTAGCGGTGTTGTGCTCTGCTTTAGCAAAAGCCGATGGCAAGAGTGAGAAAATTGCAGTGCTCCATAAAGAACCTAGAGAAACTTCCTTTCCAATAAGACCAACACGAAAGATGGGGTTTTTGTCCGTTGAATCTTTGATCAGTCTAAGCTTTATCTCCTCAAATGCGTTGTAGCATCCGGGTATGAGCATGTTCTTCAAAATGAACCATTATAGAGCTTTATCTCCTCAAATGCGTTGTGCATCCGGGTAAGAGCATGTTCTTCAAATTGACCCATTATAGCTTGATGAAGGTAGCGGAGGCTCCAATTAGAGAGAGAAAATGGCCCCTATAGGAGCCCTCTAAAAAGTGCTTTCTATGTTCTTTTGTGAATGATTAAAACATCTGAAGCTAATGCATGGAGAAAATGGGTTGGAAAAGGGTCAATTGAAGGAGAGGATAAGGCTATAAGGTTTCACAAGTCGTTACTTGTTAAGGGGGGCTACCCTACAACACACTACAGATATTGAAAAGTTCTATGACTGCAATGGAGGAATTATTGGGTAAGCTCACTATTAAAGATTTCCAGGAAAAAATCTGCAACCTTTTCAAGCAAGGTTCCCATCCATATTCCAACTTGAACTTCTTATGCTTCCTGCAGTCCTCTTCCATTGAAAACCAAAACCCCCTTTACAAATTAGAAGAAAAAAATCTAAAATTTCTTCCCCAAAAAACCTCCAGAAATTCACCTTTAGTGACAATTTCACTTAATCTTACATTTCGTATGTCAGATTTTGCCATATCAATGGCCATCATTGGAGTCTCTAACGTCATAGGAAATGGTGAAATTTTAGAGAAAACTCAAGAGCAATGCATTAAAGAGACGGAGAGAGAGAGCCTGAAAATAGAAAACAAGGCCACATGGTATGAAATTTCAAAGAACACAGGGAAAACCATAAGAGAGAGAAAGAGAGAGAGAGAGCCCAACCTGGGGCACTTGGTAGAAAATAAATGAGAGAAGGGATTGAAAGTTGACTGGAACAGGGATGCAGAGAGAGAGAGTGTGTGTGTGTGTGGGAGGGGGGGGGCAAGAGAGAGTGGCTAGACTTGAGACTTTAGAGAGCGGGGAAGCGAACTAAAACCCACAAAATTTTCTTGACAGAAAAATCATGTTCTGCAAAATTCAAGTCATAATTAATTGAGTTTTTTGAAATAAGAATTTTGGCCTTTATCTAGATATTTTGGGATGCCAATTTGAGTTGTAAAGCACTCTTTTTCTCCAGTATTAAAACTTTTTCTAAGTATTGAAAATCCCGAAATATTTAGATATTTGTGTGCAAGCAAACATGGCCGTAATCCATAATTGGAATGAATAATACTGAGTTTGACGAAGAGGTAGAGATATAATCAAGGAAAAGAACAAGTGACTACACAAGCCTGAGAAATAGGAGTGGAGTAATGCGCTATTTACAAGATTATGCAGAGGCTCAAGAATGTCATAAAGCACCTCTCTCACTGGAACAAAACCGGTCACAAAAGTTTCATAACAGGGTAAAAAACCAAGAGATTACACAAGTGGAAAACACAAGAGAAACAGAAAACAACTGTAGAGATAAGGATATCATAGACAGATAGTTTAAAGAGAGAGAGAGATTAGATTATGATTTGCACTTGGAAGAGAACCTATAAGAAGAAAATCTATTCTATGAAGAAATTTCTAAGATCATATTATATCCACCATGGCTAAAAAGAAAAGGGACAACGTCTTATGTCCAGAAAACATAAGGGGTAATAATTCAGAAAAGTAAATAACCAAAAGTGTCAACTTTTATGCAGACCATCTTGATTGTGAACGACCTAAAAGCACCATATCCTTAAGATGACCCATTTTTGACAATGAAGTCCTTGAGGACGTATGCATAGTGAAATTGACAAAATGGTTATGAGCATGATTTTGGATAAAGCTTCATAACCTGATGGATTACCAACTACTTTTCCAAAAATACTACTCTAGAGAGGTATCAGAGGGGGGGGGTAAGGGAAACAAAAAAAAAAAAAAAAAAGAAGAAGAAGACTTGGTCAGCTTATTTGGGGCAAACTTCAAGATTTCAAACCCTTGACCTCCCTCACCCAAACCAATGTGCCTACAATTTTGCCAAAGCCTAAGGAACTTTTGAGAGCCATCAATAGTTTCTTTCTCAATGAGGCTTGGTTGGTAAGTCTAAACTCCACCCTTATTTGTTCTTGTACCGAAGGAAAATTAAGAAAATCAATTGAAAAGTTAAGAACTATTAGACATAGTAGTATATACTTCACATACATAAGAACAAGATTTCTAGCTATCTATTATTATATAGAGATACCACTTTATTTTTTTGACATGTGTCCTTTTCTTTTCCAATTGTATCCCACTAATTCCTAGTTTCTTCCCCATTTTGCCCTTCTATATCTTGGAATTGTCCAACTCTCCATATAATGGCTATATATTAATCGATCTCCACATAATTACTCACATTTTTAATATGCCCCAAATTTAAAACTCCCAACATCATCTCCCACTTTAAAGCTCTTTATTTCTCTCTCTACCTTTGTATGGGATCTCTCTCCTCCATTCTCTCTCTACCCTATGGCTGCACATTTAACCAGATTCATGCCCACCAGTTCAGATACAAGCTTAGCAGCCATGACCCAGAATTCCTAGGAAGAAGGACAGTGAAGAGAGAAGGCAATGATAGAACCAGAGAGCTCAATACCAAAACCATGGTGAAAATAGAGTAAGTTCCAAGAATGCGAATGGGTGTTCTTGAACCAGAGATGAGCTTCAGCTAAAGACCAAGTTCTTTAAAGAATCCAGACTTTCAGAAGGGTTTGATTCTTTGAGATCCTGATTTTATAGGAGAGGTGCAAGAAAGAGAAGTTGAGGGGTTCAGGCATGGCCATGGATGTGGATCAAGCAGGCTGAAGAACAATGAGGAATGAAAACACGAGATGTAGAGAATGAAGGGGAAACCAAAGAGAGAGGAAAAAGGGAGGGAACAGGGAAAAAGAAAGATTGATAATCAGAGAATACGAGCGATGAAGTGATAAGAGGTTGTTCAAATGCCGTATCTTTCTAGAGGTTCGGCCCACAGGCATCTCTCTCTCTGTGGCTTCGGCCATGGCCATCGGTTACCTCGGGTGGAACTTATTTATTGGGGATTATGTGGGGTGCTTTTGCTTAGGTTTCACAGAGCAAGTTCTACAGAAGCAAGATTCGTTTTGATGGAGCAGGGAGGATATCGAGAAAAAGAAACTAGAACACTCAAACAACTGATTAAGAGCAAAAGAGAAACTTCAAATTTCTCACAATATGCATTCGAAAATCTTCCAATTTTTTTGGATAATGAGATTTTCTTTTTCTTTTTCTTCTTTCATTTGACATCAAATCTAGCCCCAGTTTGGTTAGCACTAATTCAAGTCCAGTTAAGCCCAACTTAAAAGTAGTAGTACAGTTTGTAATAATTCCATTTTTAAGTCCAACTTACAAAGAGACAAAATTATCCTTGTCTTATTTAAGAGAATAACTTATATTTCTATTACTAGTTTTGATGCCTACACTTGTTTGGGTACCTAAGTTCAGCAGCATCTAAAACAGTCCACACCTAGCTATACCAGCCAATAAAACTATGTGGAGGGCCAGTAATTGTTGAATCAAATTTAGTTTCCTAGGCATGGCAGTCAATACCCGTACTGAATGCAAGTCTACAGTAACCCTTGATAGCAAATAGCCACAATGATGCTGAAAAGTGTCATGTCATCATCACTGGGCATGTATCGCTCTCAAAAACCACCCCTGCATGGACATGCCATGACAGTTATCCAACCTTTATGAAAAGACAGCAATACAACTTTGTCAGGGGTTTAAGGCATTGTCTTCTCTAGCCTTATGCTCGTCATAACAGTAGCATATTGCCTATCACACCATAACAGTGTCAGTTCTGAGGCCATGAAGTCAGTGATGTAGCACCTCAACTCGGCAAACCCACCAACTCATGCTCACTAGCTCTCTTAATGAGACTGCCTCCTCCAATCCATAATATTTCACTCTCATACTCCAAACATGTGGCCTACCAAACGAGTCCATTGTCACATCAATCCCCTAAGTCCATACAGAGCGTCTCAACTATCCACAACTATCACACTCTTAGACACCCCACAATTCAGGTGTGCTCTCTCCTCACGTTCACCTAACTACAGCATGCACTTTCACAAATTCTAATTCATCATCATCATCATCCAAGCCTTATCCCAATTATTTGGGGTGGACTACTTTCACAAGTTTTCATTAATGTTATAATTGAGTACATAAATACAGTATAATAAGGCCTTGCAAGCCACATAAATTGCAACAGGAAGTTTATAAGCGTAGCAATCTATATTGACAAATAATTTTGTATTGAAGCAATTCCACAAAGAAACACAAACTTAGGAGCAACCTAATTTCACAGTCACTTATAAATTATATATTCCTCTATAGTGATCCAAGGAAAAGAGGAGGCTTGATTTTAAAATAAATGCAATGGATTAAAAATGCAAGTATCCCCACTTTAAATTCTATCGTAAGTAGTCGACACAAGCAGCAAAGGACACAGATATTTGGTGCAAACATTTAGAAAAAAAAAAGGCTAGTGTAACCTAACATTTAATCAGAATAATTTTCAACTAGCCACTTTCTTACCTGAATTTTCATAAGTCACAAAACCAATTCCTCGATGTCCCTTTGTTGTTTGATCCTGCAAAGCATCGAAAATTATCATACAGCACCAAATGCATCCAAAAGCCAACCCCAAATAGTTGGGATAAGGGATGATGATGATGATGATGATGAAACGCATCCAATCTAAGCAAAAATGTACGCATCATAAACTATTAACAGATGATTCAATGGTACCTCACCAATTCCATGGAGATTAAAAGGAAGGGTGTGGTTTGTATAGAGCCTAGGCTCTAAACAACCACATTAGAGCCTACCTTCAAATAGTGTCGAGAAATGTGCTTTTAGTACTGGAAATCTTTGTGATAGCCTTGAAATATATTTTCATCTTTATTTATAAAGTTTAAAGCCCCAAATATAGTGTAGATCGACAAATCTATGAAAACTTAAAAATCTTGAAAATTGACAGTCAAAAAATGTGTTACAAAAAACACTATTTTTAAACCTTGAAATCCATTTTTTTCTAATGTCCATGCATCTTGATGTCGAGATGATTAATTTGAGGATATTTGGGCATCAGAATAACTGTAGTTGTTGGAAACGTCTGTGATTCTGAATCGTTTCTGGAATCGGAATTGCGTGTATCAGAAGTTTCGAAATCTAGGAATCGTTGTCCGTACAATTCGGATTTGAGAAAAATGATTCTCACTATTTCAGAATCGCGATTCAAAAAATTAGGAATTGTGTTTCCTATTTGCAAGAATTGATGTCCCTCCATGTTTGAATCACGTTTCATACCTCTATGGAATCATACATGACCCCACTTGTTTTGGTGGTTGCGGGAAACGTGATTCCTAAAAATATGGAATCGTGATTCTTAAAATTCTAGAATCGTTGTCCCTATCAACTTGGAATCATCATTCTCACCATTCCAGAATCGTGATTCTCCCCATATTGGAATCAAGATTCTCCCCTTACTAGAATTGCGAACCAATTGCCCTCCGGTATATGACAGAAGTATTCAGAAAATATATAAATTTACCTATTACTACAAGATCGAATATTGGTTTGTATATACTCAATCCAAGACTCCAAGTACTAATGTCAACCTTTATGATATCTTTGTGGACAATCCCATACAATGGACTCGGTCTACCCATAGCCCTATTACGCCTACAAGGTCTGGAGCTAAGAACAAGGCAAGCTCTCTTTACCTCCTTACATTGCATTATAAAACAAGCATATGACATGGTAATTCTTTTTTGTTAAATGTAGTTTTAAGTCTTTTGACTTTTGAAATTGAATTATCCAATTTTTAGTCAATTTCTTTGATATTTAATGATTAATTTAACTTAAAACACCACACAGGGCACTTCGCTCATATCCTTATTATCTTCTTATTTTACTTAAAGAAAAGCATTTTTATCCTCTTATTCAACTAGAAGAAATGATGGTGCCGATCATATATTAAACATTATTATATTAGTAGTTTAGTACCCACACCATTTACCAAACATTATTAAATTTGAAGTAACATATTTTTTTAGTATTATTTATTCTTGTAATAGTTCTTAAAAAGTAACATGGAATGAAGGATGGAAATTAGTAATTAAGAAAATAAAAAATTTAACATATTACTTATATTTTAAATTTTGATTTTATTGCCGTGTGCAATAACTTCAAATTCTCTCACGCTCTCATACATGTCGCACTCACTTATGATTGAGCACACATCGAAGGGTTTCTGCTCTCCCTATGCTCAGATATTACTCATATTTTAAATTTTGATTTTATTGTCGTGTGCAACGACTTCAAATTCTCTCACGTTCTCATACATGTCGCGCTCACTCATGATTGAGCACACATCGAAGGGTTTCTGCTCTCCCTATGCTCACATTGCTTCCTGAGAACATGGATTCGCAATTCCTCGATACTTTGAATCAACATTTAGCATAAGTAGAATTGCATTGTTGTGTAGCAAGGAATCACGATGTCTGTGATATAGAAACTTGATTCCAAACAACATGGATTCACAATTCCAAAACATTTGGAATCAACGTTTCTCATAAGTAGAATCGCATTCCTTTTTTTTTTGAGAGAGAAGAATCGCATTCTTGTGTATAGCTAAGAATCACAAAGTCCTCGATATGGAATTTGACTCCGGCAATCCAAGAATCGAGATTCCTAAACTAGGTGGAATCGTGTTCCGCAGAAAATGGAAACGTGATTCCTTTCTTTTAAAATCGACTTTCACCCGGGTAAATGCCGAATCGAGATTCCGAAAATGGAATCGCTACCCTCATAGGTGATTCGGGTAACTATAAAAACAACCTCTTCTGGTGAAATTTTTTAAGTAGGCTCAAATTTGATTGTTTAGAGCCTCGGCTCAATATAAACTTTTCCCTTAAAAGAATAGTCTAAAAATCTACTAAGCAACTTTATCCAAATAGGGAATAAATGAGGTAAATGGTGTTGCATATAGTCGGGTAAAGTTTGTTGCCACAAGTAATGGTTTGCGGTAATGGTACTTAGTGCTGCTACAAGAAATGAATGTACAACTCTATATGTATCATCTTCCCTATTTCATACTCTTCATAATAAACAAGTTTTATTTCTTATCAATAAGAAAACATATTCAGATATAAGAAATGGATATGAAAAAGTAAAGAATAAAAGAAAAATAATTCTATAAATGCAGGAAACATCAGTGCCTTTCAACAACACAAACTACAACTAGACTTGCATCCTTGTGTACAAGGTGAGGCACCCAGAAATTCATCAAAACCATTTTATATTATCCAATTCCCAAGCTAGTATGTTAAGCAATCCAGTACTCTATAACTCAAAATAAAACTAAGCATGGATCAAAAAGGTCGACTGTGATTCACAACAAACTATCCAGGACAAATGACATTACTATTCACAACAGAGGAAAAAAAAATTTACATGCATAAGATAGACTATTTCAAACTATCCAGGACAAAATTTACTGCTCGTAACTCATACTCAGCGAAATAAATCACATTATTAGAGCATCACATGAACAGCAATATTTGAAGCAATACAAAAACACCAGAAAAGAATAGGAAAAATTTACAAAAGAAGGAAGGGCCTGAAGATGCATCCTTTAATCAGGAACAGGATGAACTTTAAGTCTTAAAACTATTCCCTAAATGTTCATAACAACTCATTTAATGCACCACACATTCCAATGAAATATGACCTACCTGTGCAGCCACTCCAGAACTACAAGTGATAGGCAACTGAGTTTCAATTCACAGTTGTTTTCATCAGTAAACCAAGCTTATTATCCATTTAATTACTCAATTAACCACTTTGAATATCAGTACTTTTAAGGTACCAACACGCTTAAATCCAGTATTAGTAGTTTGCCTCAGCCAACTTCAATTAATACATAGACTATGTCATTTATGCGAAGATTATCCAGATAATTATCCATTTACACAAATGTAAGCATATTACTAGAAACACAAACACCTAAATGCAAGAGATCCATGGTAGACCTACATCCTCGACAAAAAAAGGCCACTCTCCACAATCCAATTCCCACAAGGGGATGAACATGGGGACCAATACCCACAAGGATAATTTAACCTCAACAACCTTTCAAACAATAAATTTTAAGGCTGGAATGGGTTGTGAGAGGTGGAATTACTAAATATGAGGCTGCTTTTTACTAAGAAGTTGTTTGTTATGGGTAACTTGGTCATTAAGTAAAGTCACGTGTCTTCATCACTAAAAGAAAAGCAATACTTTTGTCGTCTTTAGAAGGGTACAGTTGAAATTCTCGCAATAGGGAAAGGGTCTGTCCTAATAAAGTTCCATGTCACTTACTTTCAAACTGCCACTGTACTTTTGTGAAACTTTCTAACATAACCTGGAAAAACCACATGCATGCATGCACGCACACAGAGACACAGATCACACATGTCTAGTATCAACTTAACAAGAAAAGCGAGATAAAGGCTTCTATTATAGGATTGAGCAAGAAAACTTTCAGCTCACCTTAGGCATGTATAGATCAGTGATTTCACCATATGTCTCAAAATATCTGTAAATATTTCAAAGAGAAGTCAGGAATCCCTTGTGTAGAAATATACAAGTGCATTTTCAGAAGCATATGGTGTTCAACAAAGATCATGAAGCAAGATTATGAATTAGGAAAACAAGTACACCAAAACATTGATTCTTGAAAAAACTAAAATTTGGAAAGAGAATTACTCCCGAAACATTGCTTCTGTCACAGAATGGGGAATTCTGGCAACAAATATCCGGGTAATTTTCTTTGAAGGCGCTCTCATCTCCTCCTACATAAAAACAAATGGGCATTTTAGTGCTATCATAAGCACCTTAGATCTAGGAAGTATTAGGCACATGCATAAAAAGTTCATTACTTAAAATGGAAAATGAAAAATCTGATGATGAATCATCCAATTAAATCAATGTTAGTTAACCATCAAACCTACCCTTGGTGTTGCCACTTTGACCTCCAGCATTCTGCTCCCAAGAATGTGTTGAGTTTCAAGAACTTTCTGTTAAACAAGCAAAAATAATGAACCTCAGAAGCCCAGAAACACAAAGACCAAGTGTCACATAAATCACTAGACATTAAGGATCATATGGCTTTCAGCAACTGCAGCCTAAGAAAATCCCACATCACAGATGAATGCCAGCAATTGCCAACACCTTAACTCTATAATTATGCAATCTCACAACTAAACAAGAATCTCAACTAATCTTCCTTCTAAGCCCAACATCTCCAGATAGACCCTTTTATTTAGAAGCAAGGAAGCACATTTAGTTGATCTCATTGTCACCTCAGCGATAATAATTGGGCCTCGCTGAAACTTTCATGTTTAATTTTATATGTAGCCAAGAAAATCATTTAATCAATTTTACTGTAGAAATGTGAACCAGGGTGAAAATAAACAAATGACACATTGGCATTTGATGGTGCAGCACCCAAGGACACCAAGAGAAGGCATGCCAAGGTGGGTCAGCAAAGGACCCCACATGAAACCTAGAGAGACTCTAGTTGGGATATCGAGTCATTAAGAGGATTCCCAAGTACAAATGGACCTCCGCATGGTTCCAATTAGATTTGGAAGGGCAGCATCTTGTTCAATCTAAAGCTCAGTCCTCCAAGACTCCTGGATAAAGTCCAGTCCCAGGCAGAGATACCAATCCAATGGTTGACGATAATCACAAATATCAGTAGTTGTCCAGTAGTAGATTCCAGAGGGAAATGCACCTAAGATCACAGACCAACTGCGTGCGGATGGACGGAGAACAGAAGGATTTCCTAACCAACTTCGAACTGCAAGCGAACCTGTGGCTTTCGCCCCAGAGGTGAACCATCAATCAAAACAGGGCAGGTGGTTTGATTGTTTACTGAGTGGGTTCCCAAAATTGGTAAGACATCTTTCTCTGATTACTTCCTAGTTGCAATAGGTTTAGAGTTAGCATTCCCAATTGTACCTAAAACCTTTCTATGCCCACCTCGCATGTTTTTTTTTGGATAAATATTTTGAATTTGAATCACCATTGAACTTGTGTAATAGCAAGCTCAGTACCTGAGCATAACTTTTAAGACCAACACATCTAAAACCACCATTTCATAAGGACCACATTTCCAGAGATAGTTCATGGAGATCATTGCTGCAATAAACAGTTCTACAGGCAACAGAATTTTGCAGATACTTCATAAGAACTATTGTCGCACACAACACTATTTTGGAAAGGTTTTTTCATGCCTCATAGTTGCTTCCTAGAATCTAAGATTGCTACAACCAGAGCATGGAAAGTAACTTTAAATGAAAATAAAAATGATCAGGTCATATGAAAAATATTAAAATGCAAGATGAATCAAATCCACTTAAATTGGTCACTGCACCTTGGGATGAAATAGAAGTACATATTGGAATTATCAGATTCCTTTTTCATAAACCAAATATTTATCCTTTGTACAACAATACCATCGTACATTAGTCCAATGGGTTAAATAAATGAAAACTATAAGTCTCGTAACAACTACTAATTGAAAGGTGGCAATATTAACTGCTCATCTCAGACATCAAAAAGATGCAAAACTGCATGTGGCGCTGCTGAATGCTTTTAGTGACAACTACATCAGCGTTACTTTAACTACCATCCAATAAAGAGCCAAAAGAAATATGATTTTGTGAACAACTTTCTAGCAGGAATGAAGACACATCTGACAATCGAAGTGTCCACGATTCCAAAATATGACAAAGAATGAAGAACATAAACCAGCCAAGATTTATTGGGTAGATCAGCCGAATTACTGATGGGGAAGTTTTAAGGAAAAAAAACAAATACAAAATGCGAAAAAAGCTTTGGACAAGTTAAAATTAACTTAAATAGAAAACATTCACTAATATATATTCAATATCATACCTGGCACAACATTATTCATCTAGTTTGCACACATTATTCATCCAGCTTTCTTGTCAACCATTACATACAACATACTACAATAAACTATTATCCTTAAGTGGTGGAGGCAGATACTGAAAAAGGCAGGCAATGTCAACAGGAAGCCACCAATATTATGATATATATATATATATATATATATATATATATATATATATATAGTATATATACCTACGTCTAGACTACTCTAGTAACGTAACTAACGTAACGTTACGTTGTTTAACTTAGTAGTAACGTACGTAGTACGTTACGAGTA